ATTAAGTGCGATAATAAGTAAAGATTAATAATGTTTTCTGCAATTATTCTTTATATACGAGTATAAAAAGAATCTTTTATTATTAATATTATTGAAATTGGTGCAGAAGAAAACTCAGCCACGATTTGAGCCCCATTTTTTGTTAGTAGCTTTTTTAAAAGTGATTTTTTGGAGAATTGTATTGTTAAAATACGGGAAAAAGTTTGAATTTACGTGTAAAACTATTTTATTGAAATAATAAATAATGTGTAGTTAAAAATGAGTTTTAAAGGATGATGTTTAAAGGGGTTTAGCGACAATATAACAACTTTAAAATTTAAAATACTAGAAAAATTTGAATGAAATTTTAAGGAGTTAATTTCATTCAATAAAATAACCAAAGTTTATTAAAATTTAGTTCGTCATTGAAGTTCTTTTTTACCCATTTAATCATTAAAATTTATAACAATTTCTCCATTGGCCACTTGGTTAGAAAAATTAACATATAATCCGATAGGCCTGCTTGGACAAAAAATCTAAAAATCGACTCGAGTGGGTCAGTTTGGGTCTTGACACGGATAATTGGTTCGATTTTTTTAAAACAAAATCATGGTGGATCGATTCAACAATGGTTTGAAGTTTCAAATCGATGGTGAACCACACCTATCCAACTCATTTACATTTTTACATTTTTTGTTTTTTAAAGAAAAATAAAAATCAATAGATAAGCCCTAATCTCATAACTATATCTCGATTTCCTCCAACCTATGATGTTGCATGTAAGTAATAGTACTGAAAATTTTCTTTCAAGAGCTCATGTTATTATATTTAACATTTTTTCTTATTTGACAGTCTGGCTACACAATACATAAAAAAGTAATAAAATTATTAAGTTTCCTATTAATCTGCTTCTATTCAATTGATTTTTATTTGTTAATTAATGGATCTTGTAATATAGGGTTATTTAGTAATTTTAGTTCTTGTAATATAAGTGGACCCCAAAACCCAGACAATTTTTTTTTAAAAATTTTAGTTCGGACTAAAAGTCCAAATCGACTTATCGAATCGATTTGGTTTGGTTCGGTTCGATTTAAGAGTTAGAATGGGTTAATTAGTGTGGAAATTTATCAAAATTGACTAATTTGATTTTGGTTTCAAGTTGGAGTCGAAACCAACCCAAACCAAACTGCACCCTGGTCTCTAAACCAATGTAACATTTGTCGTTTTCGAAAATTGTACCTTCAACGTGACTAACAAATCTCAGACTCACTTGTGTCACGTAAGCTCTTTTCCTACATACTTGGACGAACCATTAATCATTGTGGCCTTCTCCGATGGTGCAGAAAACGATTACGAGCACTTCGACGATCAAGTTTAGTAAAGTGAAGGAATACATATGAGTGTGGGACAAGCTTAAGGCACAAGCCATAGAAGTTCATGAACATTGTGAGTATGTGAGAGAATTAGAGTGATCTTACAATGTTTGAGAGTTAAAATTGCATTTCTCTTGAGTTTGGTATATATTGTTAACTTTTATAGTAGCCTGATTGGAGTGTTGGCCATTAGATGAAAAAGTACGTGCGTTCATCCTAACGGATGGAAAAAGCATCCCATAATTGGTTATCATGACAAACATCCAAGGCCATGCATCATTTAATGTTTGGTAGAAAGGTAGCTACTCTAAAGCTTATGCCTGAGTACCTAGGATATAGACTGACAAGACTTGACATTAGGCTATTGCAAGATGTCACACCGATCACTTTCATAAGATTTCTGTGTAGAAATCACTTGGGAGAAATAGTTGTTCGCTAAAATTATAAATCGCATGTGCACAAATCGCATTCAAATAATAACGTGGATTATGAACCCACGTCGATCCCTTGAGAAATGTTTACTTTTAATTGTACTACTCTAATCATTTTAATTCTAACAATCTAAAAAAGCAATATGAATTTAAATTTTGGAAATTTAAGAAAAATAAGATGAAATTTGATTCAAAATACATCGCATTACAATTTCCTGAAGGTTTTAAGGATTAAATAGTTGGAATTCATGATTCCACTTAACTTTTGCTCAATTAATTTCTCAACATGCAAATTAATAAATTAATCATCAATCATGTTAGATCCAATTTTTCAATTTTAGCTAATTACCTCTTTCGAGTGAAATAACTCTAATTGATTAGTTTAACCTATTATGTCTCTTTGTCAATTAAAACCTAAACAACAGTATTAAATCTTTATAAAAATAGTTCAATGGGCTACCTAGAATTAAGGGTATATCTCTATTCCATACGAGAACATGAGACGTTTACTGTATTGATCTAAAATGCACAACAGTCTCTCAATAATTGTAAAAATCACTCAATAGAAACATTTTGTTGACCAAATAAATGCAAGACATTAAATGCAACAATAAATGTACATGACAATCATTATTTTGACGTTGAAAAGCAAACATTTAAATTAGCCAAGCTAGGTTAAGTTTCCTCATTCACCCTAACATTAATAATATAGTTCATGTTGATACAAATGCACAAAATGAAAATGTTAGAAAAACCTATTACATGATAAAGAAAATAAAGGAAAAACACAAAAGGTAAAACCCATCCTTTCGCTGGATTCTTGAAGCAATGCAATGGAATAATCTAGATTTCTCCCAAATTTCCTCTTTTTTTGCTTGGTTTTCTTTCCCTTTTCCTTGCCTCCTTTCCTCTCATTTTTAGCTCTTGAATGGATGTGTAGAGAATGATACCCTAGTTATGGCAGCAAATAGGTATTTAAATGGCTAAAAATTCCCTCCTAACAAACTGCAAAAGAAGTTCCAGAAGAAAAATTAAGAATGCATATAGGTCTTCTCAACTTTAGTTAAGGCAAGTGCCCGGTGAGAGCATTTGCTCTTTGCAATCAGTAAGGAAGCACAACCTTGTTTGTGGTCAGCCAAGTGCCACTCTTATTTTCTTTTCTTTGCATTTTAGTCCTCTACCTAATTATGCTTTAGGTCCTTCAAGCTTAGTTTACTTAATTTTGGCCCTCAAATTTTGACTTTTATATCAATTTTGTCCTCTTTAAATTGCATCCAAGGTCCTTAAACGTTTGACACTTGTGCACTTGGGTCCCCATATTCACATTTTTGTTCCATTTTAGTCTTTTTTTTCCTCTTGTTTTTGCTTCATGCTCCTTCTATTTGGGATTATGACCTATAGAAGCATAAATTGCACAATTGTAAATAGAAATATACTCATTTAATCAATTTTAAGTTTATTTAGGTACTCGGGCTTTGTTTGATTTCCATTATTTCTAAAATATATCTTTCTCTATCTTTTTTCTATAAAATAATATTACATGCAAACTCAAAACTTTTTATTTTCATTTTTTAACCACACGTTCAAAATGCATTCGTAGGCTTCTCTGGTACGAAATGAGGCACTTCAAATAGGTTCATTGCTCCGGCCTAGAATACGATTAATTCGATTGCTAAAAATGGGGATCTAACAGGCACTCAATAAGTGTGTGGTTACATTTATCAGTGGTCATTAAAGATGCTCCTTTTGGTGTTAGGAAGCTTCCTTTATAATCTTATGGGCTTCGTTCTCCACATGACACTTCGGTAATAATGTTAAGGACATGGATCACCTCTCTGTGGTTGCTTTTACGGCAAATGACCTCTTGCTTTTGCCATTGAGCTTCCGTTTGCACATGGCACTCGATATGATAATGTGGAATGTGGGCCTTTTTCGAATTTCTGATTGGTTGCCACGTAGTCAACCCTCGTAAAGCTTCTTTTGAGCCTCATGGCAAGACAAACAATATTCTTCCAAATTTATGTATGATTACTTATATAATACTTGAACTTTAAAGTATGTTGTAGTTGTGGCTTCATCTTGATTAGCGATGTTCTAGCTCATCTTTTTTTGAGGTAAGTGTTCGACCCATTATAGTTCTTCCGTTGAGTTTAAAAATTGTACTTCCGACATGCTCAACGGATCTCAAGCCCACTTGCATCCATGTAAGCTCATTTTCTACACATTTGGACAAATCATTAGTCATTTATGACCTTTTTCCAATGGTAGGGAAAGAGGCTGCGAGCACTCTGATGGTCAAGTTCATTGATGGGAAGGAATATATATGAGTGTGGGACAAGCTTAAGACGCAAGCCACAAAGTGTGTGAATGTTTTTCAATGGTAGGGAAAGAGGCTGCAAGCACTATGATGGTCAAATTAGTTGATGGAAGGAATATATATAAGTGTGGGACAAGCTTAAGACGCAAGCCACAAAATGCATGGACACTAAAAGTATATGTGAATATAAAGAACAAGAGCAATCTTATAGTGTTTGAGAGTTAAAATTGTATTCCCTTTGAGATGATGTATATTGTGAACTTTTCTAGTAACTTGATTGACTTAGGATATAGATTAACAAGACATGAAAGAAGTGGTCATGAAAGATGTTCCTTCGTGGTTAGGAGGCTTCCGCGCTAATCTTACGGGCTTTGGCCTCCATATGGCGTTTTGGTAATAGCGCTTTGGCTAAGGACGTGGATCACCTCTTTGTAGTTGTTTGGCGGTTGGTGATCTTCTACTTCTACTATTGAGCCTTTACTTGCACATAAGGATGACAAATTGGATCGTCGGCTCAGACCGTCCGTGACTTGACCCGGTAAAAGCTGGAGCCTCAGCTCGAGCCAAGTCCCATCTTGGGGTGTCGGGCTGAGCTCGAGCAGGCCCGTGTAGCTCGCGAGTCGGCTCCAAAAAATTGCCAACTAGGCCGCTACCTTTAACAAAGGCATTTTTTATGAAAAAAATTAATAAATAAATAAAGTTCGGGCCCAACCTCATTTTTTTGGCTGAGGTTGTGCCTAAAAAAGCTCGATATAAAAAAGCTCTTGCACATGGACTTTAAATATGGGCCTTTGCTTAATTTCTGATTGGTGTCCACATGGGCCAGCCCCTTGTCACCTTCAACCAATCAACTTTGAGATGTGGTCCGATGGAAACCCTTCACCACTCTACGCAACCGGCTAGACCAGTCGCCGGTCACCCTCCACCTCAATCACCTAACAAGCTGAAGCCTGAAAGGCACCTCCCAACGGCGACGAGCTACAAGTAACGACGATATAGTACTCGGTCAGTTTTTACCCACTCTCCATCACACTGCGTGCATCTCACTTCCGGTCTGCTTTTCCGTAATTCCACTCCATCTTCTCTTTCTCCCCGCCACACGCACTGCAAACGTATTATCCCTCTTTAAACCCCCCTTCTATGTTCTCTAACTCTACATTTCCCCTTTCCCTCTCGTAAACATGCGAACGCTTTTCTCTCTCGTACTTCTGCTCTGCCTTCTCTCTCTAAATACCGGCGATTCGAACCCTCGAGACGACGTCGTAAATGGATCTTCTGTATTGAATTCTTCTAGACCCGAAGAACATAGCTTAGCCGACATGATTGATCGCGCATTAGAAAAAGAGTTCAATGAGACTGATGAACACTCCGACGGTTAGTTTTGATCCGCTCTTCTCTGGTTTTAATGGTTGTACATTCTTCATGTAGTGCACATTTTTTATGATTTTTAGTGTGTAACTAATTGGAAGAATACTTCTCTTTCAATTGCTAGTTTGTTGGATATACAAAATGTGGTTAAAGTTAAAGCTAATGCTGCTGACCATAGATTCATAGATATGTGTGGTGTACTTAAACCGACTTGAAATATATATATAAGAGATCCTTGTGTAGTCTTTAGTTCTTTCTGTTCTTGGTAAGTTGAATTCTTTCTTTAATGTGTATGTAATCTGTGTTTCAAAACTGGTTTTTATGCATGCAAAAGAACCAGTAAAGAAGTAGGTTTTAGGGATCAGATTACTGAAATGCTGATTGAATGATTTGAATCTTTGGTATCTGTAGGATTTGACTTGTCTATACACTCCTGACACTTTTTCTATAATGGACTAAAATCTCACCAAACATCTTTTGTCGTAACTGTTCTGACTTCTGGACAAATGCTGGAATCACCACTCCAAATCTATAAGATTTTGCACATTTTTTGATATAGCAAGTAATATATGTCCCAACTCCTACTACAACGCTCTATCTCCTGTTGAATAAGGGTTCCATTTCCCTCCATCTTTATATCCTTGCTTTTTATGTTATTGCATTAAAATAAAAATTAAGTGCAATGGTGTGAGAATGGAGATAGGCTTCTTGAGAAACAATGGAAAAATATTCCATGCAATTTGGAAACTTCAATTGATTGGATTTTCTATGGTTAACTTTACCTTGAACATATGCAAAATTGAATATTATTCCCTCCATTTCAAAATAAATAATATGTTTCGGTTTCTGTTATTGAGATAGCTTTTGAAATTAAATTTTGCTTGGATATGCTTATCTTTTCTAGGTCAATAAATATCTAAATGATGGTATTCAATCAGAGTTGTCATATATGTCAATTTAAATGAATTTTTACATTTTGTCCAGTTAACCAAAACAATCATTCTGAAATGGAGGAGTTATTAATTTCTAAAATATTTGGAATTGCATTGAGTGGGAGGGGTAGGATTTTATCTGTCTCCATTTAATCTATATATCACTGACTGTCCATTTACTTCTAGTAAATTTTTACTATTCAAGAATAAAAAGATATACCATATACCTTTTTTTCTTCATTTTCAAGCCAAATAATCCATTTCATAAAAATTCAATATCTATCATTTTGCACCGTCGTTTACTTCTATATTCAATGGAAAATACTGTAAAAGAACTAAAATATAAAATCAAACTGCAAAATTTGGTCCCTGTTATTTGAGATTTTAATTTTTGGAATATATATATATATATATATATATATATATATATATTATTTGGAGAATTAGTGGTTAAAAGTAAAGAAAAGTTATGAATTTATGTGTAATATTATTTTATTGGAGAATGTGTGGTTAAAAAAAGATAAAAAATTTATTAAAATTTTAATGGAACCCAAATAAGGGCTTAATATATTTGGGTTGAAGTTTGGACTAATGTTCATATTAAGCATGAGTAAGGATGCCATTGTGGTTTTCACTTTTCATAGTTCAGAGCAATACTAATAATTGTACAAGATAAATGGACGATAAACGAAGGATAGGTTAATTGTAGAGGATAATAATAATAAAAATGTACGGACATGGAATTCATTATTCGTGAACAGTGTGCTGTCACTGTAAACTCTATGTTAAATATAAATTAGATAGAAACTTTGTCAAGGAAGCAGTGTTGGCAATGTAGGACGTTACACAAAATGATGGGAAACAACTAAAGTCTACTCTAGGCGAAAGATTGAAAGATAGAGTTTGAGTTTCTAGCTGATCTAATACACATTTCATACTGGTTGTAGTTTTGTTTATCATTGATTAAGATTTTTTTGGTTATGAAATCCATAGAGGTGATACTGAGTGAGTACCAAATAAAATTGTTACTTCCTCTCCTCTTCCTTGTATATTTCCAATAGGACTCTTTTTTAAATATCTTTTGTAGCCTATGTTGTCTCTTTGTGTTTATATTTTTAGCATGTCAGATTGAGATTCTGATAAAGGAGGGTCGTTACATTATCAGTTTCCTTATGACCATGGATATCCGAAGTTGTACCTTTCGTTCTATTCTCACATTCAAGTTAACAATGACTATTTTATCCAATGATTATTTTGACCACTAACCTCTTGTCAATTTACAAGTTCAATTACACCTGATTTTAGCTAAATTGTAATTAAGCTGACTACACAATTTCGAAAGCTACACATATCAAGCATGCAACACTAGAACACTGATGAAAGTTAAGGAAACTTTAAACTCGATGTGCTCCAATCCAATCTGATTATGGTCATTTTAATTAATAATATTATCTTCGTGAGTAAAATAGCTATAAATCCAACACTTGCTGGAGGCACGTTGAAGACAACCTAGCAATATGAGAAAAACATTTATCTTACATCTCTTTCTCCCTCTCTGTTCTCTTTTGCAGTCCCAGATCATGGTAGCTTCAACAATAGCGTGACAGAACAGCAGGTCAGTATCCTTCCTTGTTGAGTGTCTGAATCCTTGCTTGTGATCTTGGAAGATAGGATTCTATTTTACTCTTTAAAATCATGAATGCTAGGCTTTTGATATTCATTCTATGATAAATGCTCCAGGATAGTTGATGGAAAATAACATTATGGCATGCTTTTTAGATAGCTTATTTACCATATCCAAGGTTAAGTAGGTTGTGTGGCTGAAGAAATCCCTTTCTCAGCTGTGATTATATATTGTTTGTATATATGTCTAGTAAGGTTTGAGATAGGCCACTTGTGTGGTTCTGCACTTATTTTTCTATTCTTTATATGGGGACTGTGAATAATATTTTAAAATGGAAATGTGCATTCTCAATATCACTTACAAAGTCACCCCTTCCAATCAAGTTTCTGACACTGTGCAGGAAATAGGAAGACTAGTTTTGCGTTAAGCCAACAATAATTGTGTAATAGTATATTGCATCAATATATTATGCTAGGTGACATCCCCATCATTCCTCTTTTGCTGATAGCACAACCCATTCACATCTTGTATTTTTTTCTTTATCTTGGAACCTTGTCTCAGGCCTGACATTTGGTGGGTGTTTGGTAGGGATTAAAATAGATTTTTTTAGCAGATCGTGATAGAAGTTTTTGAAATTTGTGGTTAAAAAGTTGTGGGCCCATGAAAGAAGTGGTTAATATTGATTGTTTGACTTTGACTTAGATTAAAATCAAATTTTAATCCATACCAAACATGCTCTTAGTAACTTCAGATAGGCTCATGAAGGTTTTAGTTTTGAATTAGGTTTTGCCTAACATAATTTACGACTTTTCTTGTCCAGTTGTTTACTTGAAGTACATGGCTATTGTCATAAAATGTACAACTCCATAGAAGTGGGTATGGGGCTTAAGATTTGAGAGAAACAAAATGGTCATTTAATGAGGAGAATTAGATATGAGCAATGATGTCCGTGGGTCATAAGATTTGAGGGAATGAGAGTAGTCATCTAGTCTAGAGTTTAGATAGGAGCAATGATGTCCAATAGGTTTAAATGTATTAAGGTTTTGTACTTGCAGTCTGATCATCAAGTTCACTTAAGGTCCGTTTGATTGCAAAGATGGAATTTGGGTGGAAAGAAAACGAATTCTAGGGAATTGAATTGCTTGGAAATTGTTTTCTTGAAAATTGTCAATTTATTGTGTTTGATGGGTATAATTTTTCACGTGAAAAATGTTGAAATAAAAGTATTTTTTGGTGTTTGTTTGACTTTGTTTTACATGAAAATTATTAATTAAAGGGATAAAATTTACTAGCTTTGGGGATAGAATTTGTTTCCATTACAA